TGCTGGCAGGATTGTAAAATGATACTACCACTGTGGGAAATGATACAGCACTTCACTGAGAAGTTAGAAATAGAAAACCATGTGATGCAGAACTTCCACTACTAGTTATATTGTTGTTGTTGTTGTTTGCCATCGAGTCGGCCCCGACTCATAGCGACCCCTCCTTGGGTTTCCGAGGCAGTATCACTACGGAAGTAGGATTGCCCAACCTTCCTTCCGAGGAGTGGCTGGTGGGTTTGAACCGCCAGCCTTCTGGTGAGCAGTCAAGTGCCTTAGGCACTATGCTACCAGAGCTCCTACTAGTTATATATCCTACAGAAAAAAGAGTCGTGACATGAACAGAGTTATACGCTCACCCATGCTCATCACAGCATTATTCACAATAGCAAAAAGGGAACCAACCTAAATGCTCATAATTGGATAAAAGGATAAACAAACTATGGTATAGACACACAGTGGATTACTATGCAACATTAAAGAATAACGAAGAGGCTTTAAAACACTTCATAACATAGATCAACCTGGAGGATATTATGCTGAGTGAAATATATCATTAACAAAGAGATAAATATTGCATGAGACAACTATTATAAAAAGTCAAGAAAAGGTTTCCCCACAGAAAGAAATATTTTTTTATGGCTACCTGGGATGGGAGGGGAAGGTATAGTAAACCATTAACCAGAGAGTAGCCACTTAGTAACAGGGTTGAAGGGAAAGGCAATACACAATGAGAAGGGCAACACAACATGACCAATGGCAAAGGAAATCACTGGGAGGTGCACAAGAGTGAAAGAGCAATGGAAATACTACTGTGGACAGAAACACCCAGAGATCAACTTTCAGTCAAACAATAGACAGACCTATGAGATGAACGCTGACACCAGAGAGGGATGCACTCCTCAGTACAAAGAACCATGGGAGACCGAAAGGGCAGCATTTGCCCAAAAACAAAGGTCAGAAGGTAGGTAGGGGCAGGAAAGAAGGACAAATGGAAATGGGGAAGAGCACTGTTAAATTGAGGGGACTGGAACCTATGTCAAAAAACAAAATGGGTTTAAATTGTTGAATGGAAAGCTAATTTATTCTGTAAACTTTTAACCAAACTATAAAAAAGAAAAAGAATATATATAATAAAGCAGAGAGTATATGTCAATGGATCTATAGAACCAGGCAAGCCATAGCTAAGGGAGGAGAATTGAAGCAATTCTCAGAAGGAAGAGTTTGCACTATGACCAAATGGAGGAGTAGATGAGGATGGACTTGAGGTTCTCACAGCAACATGCAATTCAGGTCCTTTGCACAGCCAGATACTCTGCTGAAGTGTGGCTAAACATTACCACGAATTCACAAGACTCAGGCTGTCTGACCTTGGGTTAAATTTATTATTTATTAGCTTAAATTAGGTATGCATCTAAAAAGGAATTGTTTAGATTGGATCATCTCAAAGGTACAGTCTGTTCCAATATTTTGTGAGTGTATTACTGTAGTTTAATGACTCAGTGGAAAGGAGAATAGTGGGAAATATAATGTTGCTTTGGAAATCTTTCTGTCTCTCCAATTCAACTATGCATGTCCCACAGTGGGAGAGAGAGACCATTTCCAGAGGGTGATTCAAGTAAAACTAATTTCCATGAATGATCACATTCATGTGACTCAAAATTAACATGTGTCTGTTAACCACTTTGATGGATAAAGAATGATGCATAAAGAATCATATTTATTTAATATGACCATACATATTCTTACATAAACTTACAAAAATAATTTTATATTTCAAGGTACTACACTATTTATTCAGCAAATATTTATTAATTATCCAGTATTTTTCATATGTAGTGGAAGTTTCATGCTGGAGATACAAAGATGAGTGAGAAGGACACATTTTCCCAAGCAATTCAGTTTTTTGAGGGGGAAACTAATATGCACAATGGATCATTAGAATGTAAAAAGCAGTGTAATAGACACATTGGACAAAGTGGCTCCTAAAAAAGGCAGGGGGGACTACATGGAAATGCATTCACAGTTTCTTTTATTTTAAACTTTTATACATAGAAAAATAAAAGGACACTGTTTAATATACTTTTAAATACATAAGCTACTAAAGTTACATAAGATTGTTGTTGTTGTTGTTGTTGTTGGGGAGCTCTGGTAGCAAACATAATTATGCTGCTAGTCATAATATTAAGCTATTATTCACAGAAAAAAATGTTAATGTAATTTATAATACCAACATCTCCTATGTGGGATGAAGTGGTTTGAAAGTGCTAGCCTTGATGGAGAGGAAAAGCACAAAGAAACCAAATGATTAAATATTAGGAAGCAACACAATCATGGATTTCTCAATGTGTGGACCAGTTCTGCCTTAATCTTTCAGGTAAAGTTTATCTGAATGATTCTCCCTTCAGTCCCAGGAAAATAGCATTGTATGATAAAAAGTATTATTTCCATAGTGAAGACATGAATGAATGGAAAACTATAGATTAAAATGTTGAATCATAGCTAATCAATTGATCCTTCCAATGCCTTTGTCTCTGCAAAGAATTTTGTTTATACTTTCTTTATGACAATTGGCCACCTCCTCCCACCACTTTGAAATGATTTGTGTACAAACCTTGTGCTCCAAGTTTCTCTAAACAACTTGAGTGCACTAGCTGGGTCCCATTCTTCCTTGTGAAGTGGGTACTTCACTTTCTCACAGATTCCCTGGGTGTGAATACTGGTTCTATTATTAATAAATATGTGATTGTGAGCTCTGGTGGCATAGTGCCTAAGGCATTTGACTGCTAACCAAAAGGCTGGTGGTTCAAACCCACCAGCCACTCCTCACAAGGAAGGTTGGGCAATCTACTTCCATAGTGATACTGCCTCGGAAACCCAAGGAGGGGTTGTTATGAGTCGGATCCGACTAAAGGGCAGTGAGTTTGTTTTTGGTTTCGGGGCATAGGAATTCACTTCTGTATGCCTCAGTTACCTCATTTATAAAATAGAAATAATAATACTACCAACTTCATAGGGTGGTTAGGACAGTTAGAAGAGTCCCACACACAAAATGAGTGTTCAATAATCTTAGCTACAATAAATCTTAGATTTAAATTGTTTTTATTGTTTATATTTTATGTAATACATGAGCCCAGATCTCATACAGTTCACAGAGGAAGCACTTAATGAATATTCACTGAAGCAAAGATCAACAGGCCAGTCCCAACACAAATAGAATGGTTTATAGAATGGAATAATGAAGGTAGTAAGGGTTTTTTTTTTTTTCCTTTTATACTGAAAGTTGCAAACATTCATAAAAGCTGACAGAATAGGGTAATGATCTAGGGGGAAAAAAGAGGTCAAACTAGATAATTCTTTTGATATATCTAAAAAACTGCTATTAAAAAAAAAAAAAAGGAAAGATAAGGGTAAATACATTGAACCAGATCTTAGAAGTATTTGTTTGAATTCACAGTTTTATGATATTCATTACATTTCTTAAATACCTTGGTTTTAAATTCATTATCTTTAAAATAATAAGGTTCTATCATTAATAAATATATGGCTGAGTTTTTTCCTATACCTAGTAGAACATGTTTAGAAAATGTTATTATTAATAAAGCCACTGGAAGCAAAATAAATGAATGATACCCAATATCAGACCTGAAGAATTATGGGAACTGATAATAAGAAGTCTAAAGCAGTTACAGGAAGTTGACTGTAGCTCATGGCGTTCCCATGTGTGTCAGAGTGGAACAGTGCTCCATAACGTTTTCAGTGGCTGATATTTCAGAACCAGAATAGCTGGTATTTCTTCTGAGGCTCTTTGGGGTAGACTCGAATCTTCTTAGCAGTTGTGTGCATTAACTGTTTGTACCACTTTGTGACTTATTCACATTGTTCATGGGACATACTCTTTGAGCTGAGTATCAAAAATAAGTTGTTCATCTATGAAATAACTGGCTTGTTTTTATATCCACTGTGAATTACATAACTAATTCAGTTGCCATTTTGACTTTGAGTCAAATTTATAGGTCTTAGTAAAATGAATTTTGTAGCCTCTGTGTGGCCTTCATTTTATGCTCTTCATCTCAGTTTTCTCTCTTCTTTTGAACACATTTATAATTTAGGCTGTCCTGTGTCTTCTTCTAAACTGTAAATAATTTTTGGAACAATGCAAAAAATAACTGAATACATAATAAGTAAATTGTAAAACAAAGTCACATAATGAAAGACCATCTTAAAATCCTTCTGTTAAATATGTATTAACTTGTAAAATTTCTTAACTCTAATTTCATGAATGGATTTACCAGAAAGAAGCTGACTGAATAAATTAATGCTCTTATTTATGATGCCAATTATCTTTCCTAGTGTAAATAATTGGATTGATATTATAATTAATAGATCTACATTCTTGTTTATTTTGTCTGAGCTATGAAAGCATACTGTGCCTGCAGACAATGCAGACTTACTACTTCTTTCCTCTCTGAGCTAGGAGCCAGCTCCTCTCTAAGTACCTCTTAGTTATATTTATATTGTATTAGAAAAGTATTGAAAAGAACAGAGGGAAGATATGGCTAAATATTGAAATAATACAAATGAATTATTTATATATTTGTGTGTGTGTATGAATATATATATATATATATATATACGTAGATACACACATACATATCTACATATACATATATATATCTTTAATTCTCTGAAAGACATTACGAGTAAGGTGTTATTAACCAGAAAAATACAGGGAAGCTCAGACAGAACAAAGTAGCCTACAGTGTTAAATGGCAGCTGGCATTGGAGTCCAGGCATCTCTGTCTACAAGACTGTGCTGTTTCTACAACTTGATTTAATGTTATATTTACCAAAGAATATTGATCCTAAAATTAAGACATCAATGTGCAATCATAATTAAGTTATTTTACATTAAAAGATCTTACACATTTATGATTAATTTTTCTCCCCATAATGTGTCCGTTGTGAATCTATTTCCAATTCTCCCAATCAAAAATCAGCACTCAATCAGAAAATAAATTTGTTGTTGAAGAATTCTCTCTCAAAACTTTGCCAGTGATGATTAGTTTGATGGCTTTTCGAAACCAAGGATAAAAGAAAGCATAAATCAAGGGGTTCATCGCTGAGTTATAATAAGCAAACCAAACTAATATTTCATAAATGTATGTGGGTGTGATGAAACCTAGGAAGGCATCAATTATTGTATCAATAAAGTAGGGTAACCATGAAATCAGAAAAGCTATCACAGCAATTCCTAGCGTTTTAGCTGCTTTTCTCTCCCTTTTGGCCACTCTGTCTTTGTAACTGTCTGATGATTTCTCAGCCTCATTGCTCATACTTTCAATTTTCCTAGCTTGTTGTTTAACTATGAGAAAAATCTTGGCATAAACAATTATCATCACTAGCATGGGGATGAAAAATAAAACAAAATTCACAAATACCCAATTTGAATTAATTGCAATTTGACAGCCTCCCACACAGGAGAGAGCACTTACTAATTCCTCCAACCCAGTTTCATGCACACCTGAGCAAAGAAGGGAAAAACTATAAATAATTGAAAGAAGCCAGGAGAAAACAATACATATGCCAGAAACAGATGCTGTAAACCTGGTTGGATAGATCAGAGGATCGGTGACAGCAATGTATCTATCGACAGAAATAAAGCACAAGTGGTAGATAGAAGCATAACAGAATGACCCTTCAAAACAAGAGTGAAATTTACAGTAGGTCTCCCCAAAGTACCAGCAGCTCTCCACAGATCTCACTGTGCTGAAGGGCATCACTGTCATTCCCACCAAGAAATCAGCGCAGGCCAGGGATGCGATCAAGAAATTAGCTGGAGAGTGCAGCTGCTTGAAATGAAGAATAGAGATCATCACCAGGAGGTTTCCAAGCACAGCTAGCACAGCCCCAGAGCCAAACAACAAGTACAGAATCACCCGGGGGCCAGGCGAGTATAAAGTTTTAACACAGGATCCATTCAGGTTCTCATAGCACAGTTGTGCAGCCACAGGAGGGGGCCAGTCTGTGCTCATGATTCTTTTTCCTTTTAGATATTTGGAATAATCGTCACCCTCTATGGTACACATGTCATTCCAATTTTCAAACGTACTGAAAAAAAGATGCATAATGTTAAGATTTGACAGTACATTCTGTCCCTTCTTTTTAACTACAAATCCTTATTTACATGCTCAGAAAGTTATTCATAAAACAGTTCACCTCCAAATGAATAACCAATTCATTTCATTATTACATATAATGCTGTTCATTTTAATTAAAAAAACAAAAACAAAAAAAAAACTTTCTTAGCATTACCTAGTTCTTCAAATCTGAGAAGGATTTGTCTTCAAAGAGCAATGAACAGTCGTGACGTGTGTTTGAATATCTCCTCTTATTAAGCTCTCTTCCAAATTTATCACAACGAGGATAATGCATAAAGCACTTGGCTCCTCAGGAAAGTAGCTAAATTATCTCAAATATTCAAACCCCTGAAGACTGACTCCCCACAGTGCAAGGTGTGGAAAGTAAAAAACTTTTAAATAACTATTATGTTTATGCCAAAAATAATCTTATGCCCTCCTAAGGTGCTGAAGACATTTAACCTTTTCATGAAATAGAAATGGAAATAGTGTCTGTTATTAAAATATTTGGTCCAGAACTTAAAAGCCATATGGTTTATTCCTATTAATTATTAGAGATTGCTTCTCAATCTTATGAGAACTAGTTATTGATAATTTCTCTTAATAGCCAATATGACTCTTTCATATAAGTTTTTTTTAATCCCTTCTAGCATTGGTTTGCATTAAAGAAATTAAATGCAGGATTGTGTATTAAAACCTAAAATATTGTAGGTTCTATTTTAATAGCTCAGACTGGGGAAAGTAAGGAAATAGAATACGAGGTATTTCCCTCATGAAAATACAGAAATTAAGTGTAAGGAAAAATGAAAACCTAATTATCACTGAAGTGTTTTGTTGTTATTCATTGGAATTGTTGGAAGGATATTAAAGAAATAAAATATAAAAAGAATGGTTGGAATGTGGGATGTGAATTCCAATATTAAGGATGTATTTCACCTTTGATGGATTTCCTTTGCATCTCAGAATAGAACTCTAGACTAGAACTCACCTTAGGCTTTGATAATGAAGGTTTTTCTGATGGATGATCTCTGAATATTTTTTATTAGTTTACTTTTTTGTGTTGAAGTGTAATTATATTAGAGATTTTCATTGTTTAAAGTGTGCAAGTTAATGATTTTTGAGGACTATATCTTCCCCTGTAACTGCCACTGTAGTCAAGATGTAGAATATTTCCATCACCCCAGAAATTTTCCTTACACCTTTTAACAGTAGTTAATCTCATCTCTGATATCCCCTCCCTCTTCGTAGGCAATCACTAATATCCTTTCCATCATGATAGACTAATTCTGCCTTTTCTAAAATTGGATATGAATAGAATTATAGGTGTAGTCTTTTGTGGCCGGCTTCTTTCATTCAACTCAAAGTCTGTGAGATTCATCCATGTTATTTGGTATATCAGTAATTTAGTCTTTATTATTGATAAATAATATACTGTTATATGAATGTAGCACAATGTTTTTATTCACCTGCCTATCAGTGGACATTTGGGCTGTGTTCATTTGACTGTTATTAATAATGTTACTCTGAGCATTTGTATGCAATTCATTACTTGGTCACATATTTTCATTGGATAACTTTCCTAGGGATAAATACCTAGTAGAATTGCTAGGCAATATGAGAAGAGAACATAAACTGTCTTCTGAAGTAATTGCATCATTTTATATATCCACCAGCAATCTACTGTGTTGTTATATGCTGTCGAGATGGACCTGACTTACAGCGACCTCTCCTTGGGTTTCCGAGGCAGTATCACTACGGAAGCAGATTGCACCATCTTTCTTCCGAGGAGTGGCTGGTGGGTTTGAACTGCCAGCCTTCTGGTTAGCAGTCAAGTACCTTAGCCACTATGCTACCAGAGCTCCCACCAGCAATCTGTGAGTTCTCTAATAGCTAAAAGTCTCATCAACACTTGGTATTGCCATTCTTTCTTTATTTTGGCATAGTGGTTAAAGCTTTGGACTGCTAATCAAAAGGTTGTTGGTTCAAACCCGCCAGCCAGACCACAGGAGTAATGAGGTAATCTGATTCCATAAAGATTTACAGCCTTGGAAACACTATGGGACAGTTGTACTGTGTCCTAAAAGTTACCATGAATCAGAATGGACTCGATGGCAATGCATGGTTTTGTTTAGTGGGTGTGTAGCGGTATCTCATTTTTAAACTTGCTTATTTCCCTTTAATGGTGATATTGAGAATCATTCATGTTATCATTGGCCATTCATGCATTTTCTTTGATGAACTATCCAATAACATGGTTTTCCCATTTTTAATCAACTCTGAATCTCCTTATTGTGCTGACTGGATACATGTCCTTTGTTAGATACGTTATAAACATTTTCACCAAATCAGTGACTTGACTTTTCAATTTCTTGATAGTGTTTTTTGGAGAGTACGACAATGTTGAATTTTACCTGAAACTTATGATCCTTGAAACAGCAATGGTGAAAGAGACCCCTCTCATTCTTTGTGTTACTGCAAATCATCACTCTTTTCCAATATGATTTAGATAAAACTCATCGATGTCTTTCTTTGCTTATGATGGAACAGAGCCTCCAAACTCCCGTTCTTTGCCTCATAAATGAGTAACTGAACTTTTTCCCACTTATCATTAAGAAACAAAATGTACTTGTTAACCAGACTTCAGTTAAGCTTCTTTCCTTCCCCAAAGTCCTGGAACTGTGGCCCATATGCAACCTGAGCTCTGAATTGGTTGTAGGTTTTCTGAAATTTTTTCTTTGATGTACTGGCTAAGGCTTGTTCTTGAAAAGCGTTATTGAAATGACCTTGTTCTTAGGTAAAGGAGTATTGGTAGTCCATGGCATGCAGTGAAAAATATTTACTCAAATTATAGATACCTGTAATGAAGGGGCCTACAGAAGGTAAGGCTCTGAGTAATTAATTATTCTTCTGACATAAGCCATTTTAGTAAAATTAGGAAACAAAAAGAAGTTTATTGGTCATTTTTAACTGCATTGGAGAACTGTACGTATGTTGGGGAGGGTGGGAGGATGATAAGCTCTAGGCTTTCAATTTCCAGCTCAAGGTCTGCACTGTTGTTAGCTGCCCTAATCCATCTTAGTCCAGAAGCACCTCTGAAACCTGTTCAGCATCATAGCAACACAGGAAGTATCCACTGACAGGTAGTAGCTACAAATTGAAGTCTGGTATCCCCATATGAAAGTCTAGACTTCTATCACTGAACCACCACTGCTTCCCAAGGTCCTCATAAGGAACATGAAAACCTCTAAGAAGACCGGGGGGAGCTCTGATAGCATAGTGCCTAAGGCATTTGACTGCTAATCAGAAGGCTGGTTCAAACCCACCAGCCACTCCTCAGAAGGAAGATGGGGCAATCTACTTCCCTAGTGACACTGCCTCAGAAACCCAAGGAGGGGTCACTATGAGTCAAGTCCAACTCAACCGCACATAACAACAACAACAACAGCAAGACCTTGGAAAAATCTCTTATTTTATATAGTTACAGGGTTCAGTTTCTGAAAACCAGTCTCCAAGTCCAATCTTGTGGGTGGTTAAATTACAAAGCAAGTTAAATTCCCAACCTCCCAGGGTTTCTTTTCTTAAAGTTCAGATACTGATTATGAAAGAATGGAATTCTAAAAAATAAAATAGGGACATGTGAGCTGAATCTGATAAAGCTGATACCTCAAACTTTTTTCCTTTTTTTTTTTTCGTGAGTAGTGGCACACTTTCAACTTCTGCCTGAGGAAGTTAATCTTTCTCCTTGCCTGAAGAACATAAAATGATCGCCTCTGAGATAGTTGCTTTACAAGGCACTACTGATCCCCCTCAGAATCCACCTTACCACCTATCCTTGCTTCTAGAACTGTAATCAGTCTCAGGGTCCAGCAAGCCACAAACGTACAAAGTGTGACCTGTGAAGGGCTATGACACAAAACAAAACATGTGTCTGATTTTATCAATCTGTATTAACAGAAACCTGAGGAACACATGTGAGAATAGACCTTAAGGGTGTGAGATGCATGTGGAAGGAGTATAAGATTTGATTGGATTTATTGATACAGATACACAAAGCAAAGATTACAGATTCAGAGTCTTAGCTCAAGGAACTAGGAATAGCTCCAACAGTTTGATTGATTGGTTGATTAACTGAAATATGGATCCAAATGTGGCCTATACTAAATTAAATTGAAATGTGAGAACTTCCTTGGCATACAGTAGATAAAAGTATTCAAAGACTTGAGGAGATTAAAATGCTTGAGTAGATTTATCATGTAAGATATTCAAACCCAACCTAGGATGTTCAACAAGAAAATCCTTTTACCACTACTATAAAAATAAATTTATGAGTGGAGGACAGCATCCATGAAGCACTCTGGGATGGCTCCTCCATTTCTTATTTTTTACTGAAAAATAAGTAGCCCATTGCCTTTAACCAGGCATCTTGAGATAGCCAAAGGCCAGATGATCATGTACTTTGTGGGATGGAAGCAGCTACAAATTATGCTTTGCCTTGTTACTGAAACTGTCTCGAAAAGTGTAGGGTCCTGGCAATGGAATAGGGAGTTGAGGAGGAGCCCTAAGATCAGGACACCTTTCAAAGTGCTTTCTCTTGCTTCTCCTTCTTCTTTTCTTTCTTTTCTTTTTTTTTTTTTAGAGTGAATAGCATTCTATATTTTTTATTATTAATAAACAGCCAAATGTTTTTTTTTTTTTAAAAAAATTTTACTGTGATTTGGGTGAAAGTTTACAGAGAAAATTCATTTCTCTGAATACAGCAATTCATACACATTTTGTTTCATGACATTTACTGCAATTCCCCACAATGTAACAGCTCTCTTCCCATTTCCTCCCTTTAATTACCTTACCCCTGTGTCTTCTTTCTTATGCATTCCTGCCCCCCTAGCTATCTCCCT